TGCTCAGAAAGTTTCTCAAAAAATAAGTTTGATAATTGATATATATATATATATATATATATATATATATATATATATATATATATATATATGAAGAAATATAGACTTAAGGTGTGCTATATTTATGGGATAAAGTGCTCAATATCAGAGATAGAGCGTGTGTAAATATAAAAGTGAACATAGAAGTCAACACTTAGAGGCGACAGTCTGTTTATGCTATACCGGTAGTCGTTTATTTATTTATTTGAGTTAAATTATTTTAAGTTATTTTAACCCAAATAAATAAATAAACGACTTCCGGTAAAATAACCGCCATAAGAGACTACCCACAATGCACCACTGACCCGTATATATATAAATAGCCGAGAAAAATAACAGCACACGTGGCCTGACGATTGCATATAGCATGAAACAGACTGTTGCCTCGAAGTGTTGACTTCTATGTTCACTTTTATATATATATATCAAGGTAAAATCTCGAACAAGGAAAGAAAAAAGAAAAACAGCTACCTATCCAGTAAAGTGCTCAATGCCTAGATTACGGAGACAGAGCAAAAACTGCTTCACAACATTAACTGCCATCAAAGGACAGCCCGACATGTTACGTGAGTTTCACGCTCATTCGATTTTCAGGCGAGTAGAACGTAAATGAAAGAAGCGATGAACTAGCATTATATAAATGGCTATAGCACGCACACCGTAAAGAATCATGGGAAGAAATAAAACAACAAATAACTTTACTTAAAATAACCTTAGATAAATCCAATATATATTGGGTAAATTTATATATATATATATATATATATATATATATATATATATATATATATAAGCAAATATATGGATATAGATCCGACAGTATGAAGAAAAATATACGGAAAAAACAAAAATCCTAATATGCAATTATGCTGTTTTAATGTTAATATAATGTCAACGTCAATGTTTTATGAATATGTCCTGAAGATGGTCTATTGGACCGAAACGTCCGACGTTGACATTATATTAACATTAAAACAGCATAATTGCATATTAGGATTTTTGTTTGTTTTTTCCGTATATTTTTTCTTCATATATATATATATATATATATATATATATATATATATATATATAACATTGAAGTCAACACTCAGAGGCTGTTTGATGCTAAACGCAATCGTCAGGCCGCAAGTGCTTTTTTTTCGACTATATATATATATATGGGTCAGTTAGTGAATTTCGGGACGGATTTCACAAGTTTTCAATATGCGAACCGCTCGACCATGCCTTCTGATACTGGTGATCCTTTTTGCTGTGCACAACCTTCTTCTTTGAACTTTTTGCGCCATGTGCATTCTCTCACTTCAACACCCTGCACGTACTTGTTTTCGCGCATACTCTAACACACAACAAGCCTTTCCTTTTCCCAAAAAAAGGCATTTCTTTTCCTGAAAAAAAATAGAACATTAAATATAGAATTTTGAGTTGTTGCTACACATGGTGTTAAAATCTTAGATCATCTGGACGAGAATTGGTCAAGTTATTAAACTAGGAAATGAATGATATCAATATCTATATATATATATATATATATATATATATATATAATAAATGTCTGTGCGGCACACTTTTCTCGCATCATACCATTTTGGAATCAGGCTGACTCTGTGAGCAAATTAAAAACATTCTGGGTTGGATCCGGACTGGGAAGCCTGAAATTTTGGATTCTCAAGTTTTCATTATCTACCAAAAGTGTTGAAACAAAATAGCTATTTTGTAGTGATTTTATAACATATTTATGTCATAATTTTTCAATAAATAATTATATGTATCTATATATCTCTCTCTCTCTCTCTCTCTCTCTCTCTCTCTATATATATATATATATATATATATATATATATATATATATATATATATATATATATATATATATATATATATATATATATATTGAATGCTGAATTCCGCCATCTTGTCTGCAATTGTTTTCGGTGATTTTTTACGTGATTTTTGGCGACGAAGTTTTCAATACAATAACAATTTTTATAAATTGGAAATACCTTGGGGAATAATCGAATTTAATTGCGAAATCCGTCGAAAGTGACCCATGAAATGAAAATAAGTGCTTGTCCGGAAAGTAAGGTCCTACGTACACCAAATTATCTTAAAATTAAGTACCGACAGAAGAATTAACCTTGAACTTTTGAAAGGTAAGGCTTAAATATTAATTCAATACTAAAAGGGCGCGATCCGTTTTGAGTTTTTCTGTAGTTTATTGTTGCCCAATCAGGAGTCCTTCGCAGGAGCTAGCTTAAATGCCACCCGATAGGGCGGCTTTTTGTTCATATATATATATATATGCATGCCGAATAGAACTGTCGTTTTATGGCCATTAGACCCGAGTTCGAATCTCACCATGGACAATTTATCAGGGAGTTGATTTCTTGTTTATGTCGGCCTGGGGAGGCGAACCCATTGCGCACCACGTTTGGAAAATGTCTAAAAACCAGAACACGGATTAACCCAAGCATTTTAAGTAAAATTGGTCAAATGGAATCTATCAGATCGCCAATATCGAACCGTTAACTAATACACCACCTACACATCCAAGTTTATGGCACCTGTTTAGTAAACTTTTCGCACATTCTGCTTTATTTAATGAAGTGATATCGCTTCTTGAGTGCTTTTTGAATTACCTTCTCCTCGCTTTTGAATTTATAATAGTCCTCCTTCTCAGTTTTGAAATTATAATAGTCCTTCTCCTCGTTTTTGAGATTATAGCAGTCTTCATTCTCGGTTTTGAAATTATAGTAGTCCTTCTCCTCTATTTTGAAATTATAGTAGTCCTCATTGTCGGTTTTGATATTATAGTAGTCCTCCTTCTCGGTTTTGGAATTATTGTAGTCCTTCTCCTCGGTTTTGAACTTATAGTAATCCTCATTCTCGATTTTGAAATTATAGTAGTCCTCCTCCTCGATTTTGAAATTATAGTAGTCCTTTTGCTCGGCTTTGAAATTATAGTTGTCCTCCTTCTCGGTTTTGGAATATTTAGAAGATTTTCCCTTCGGTTTCGAAATTATATTAGTCCTCCTTCTTGGTTTTCAAATTATAGTCGGCCTCCTTCTCGGTTTTGAATTATAGTAGTCCTCCTCCTCGGTTTTCAAATTATAGTAGTCCTCCTTCTAAGTTTTGAATTTATAGAAGTCTTCCCAAACTTGAAATTATAGTAATCCTCCTTCTCGGTATTCAGAGTGTAATAGTAAAGCTTCTTGGTTTTGGATTCATAGTACTCGTTTCCATTTAAGAATAAATCTAATAAGAACTACTGGCATGTATTTTATACCTTGTTATTTACCTTGATCATTGAATTATTATGCGTCAGTCGTCAACGCCGACAACATAAAAAACAATTTAACCTTATTTGTAAGATTAAATGTGAATTATTAAAGAAGTTAGTATTAGTAGACTCACATTTATTGTGCCATTCAAGGTACAATATTTTGAATTGAATTAAATTGAAATTGTAATTTATTTGTATTCTATTTGTATTTGTATTTCATTCAAATTGATTTCCAAAAATGGAAATAATTTTTAACTCAACCTTTTACGCCAAAATGTCTGCAATCATTTCTTGTCTTTTTTCAATTCTTTCTTTTCTTTTTCTTTTTATTCAGAAAACGTTTAACGAACAAATTGGCGAATTTTATGCTTTCGTCGGTCGGAATTACTACATTGAGTATGAGGTCAAAGTTCAAGCGTTTAACTTTTTAGGTCCTGGACCCAATTCAACGATATCTAACGTCTATTCGGCAGAAGGCAGTGAGTATGCGATTCTCTTTCAATCATATGTATTGGTTATTATTTAAGTAAAATCGTTATTGCATTTACCACGCTTCACTTACCACGGTCACGCTACAGGTGCGCGATACCAAGGTCAGTTGGGATTCTTTTCAATGAAGTTAAGGCATAAGTCGTTTCCATTTTCAGGAGCCAGATATAATAACGAATGTGCCATTCTTACACTATTTACATTATTAGGACTATTGTCCTCATCTTTGTCACCATATTTATTACAACGTTTCTGCCGTTCAGTATCTGTCTATATTTCTGAGATGGGGTATTATGTACACTATTTACATTGTTCGGACTATTGTCCTCATCTTTGTTGCCATATTTATTACAACGTTTCGGCCTTTCAGTATCTGTCTATATTTCTGAAATGAGGTATTATGTACACTATTTACATTATTCAGACTATTGTCTTCATTTTTGTTGCCATATTTATTACAATGTTTCGGCCTTTGTACACTCCGGCCTTCTGCATGTGGTTGGAATGTCGAACTGAACCCTTTATTTCGCTCACTGGGGTGAAAATAAATTCATATTACTGCACACCACGGCAAATGACCTACTCTGAGGAAAAAATAGAAATCGATCACACCCTGTCACTCCAGTGGGTCTAAAACTGACCGCACGGTGAAAGAAAGGAAACTAAAGAGGTTGTTTCAATTAATTTGTACAATGGTGTACACCAAAAATAAAACAGAAACAGTTTTTTTTTGTGGAGCTGCGACCAGAAATAATTAACTTTTCAATTTTTTCATATCACTATAGATTAAGCAACCGACACACAAATGTATTTTTAAGCAATTCTTATAAACAGTTATTTATGTTATAAAAGTTAATCGGGGATCTAGGTGGTACGTAAATTCATTGTAAATTGAACTCCCTAAGGAAGCCAAAACAAATATGTTTATGGTGTCTTTCTGTAAAATTAAAAAAATTAAAAAATTAAATTCGTAATCTGGAGATCTTAAGAGACAATAATATATTTTAAAAAATCCAAATAGCGAATTTCAGAATTTTTATTTATTTATTTATTTATTTATTTTGATTGTTTTGTTTTTTACATTTTAAGAAACCATACCATATATTTGTTTTGGCTTCCGTAGAAGTATCAGTTTACAATAAATCAATGTGGCACATTTCGTGATCAAGAGTTTTTATTCCATAGTAAAATGGTTTCATTAAAAAAAATACTATCTATCTATCTATCTATCTATCTATCTATCTATCTATCTATCTATCTATCTCGTTCTACTTATGTCTATCTGTCTATCTCATTTTGCTCATATCTATCTATCTCGTTCTATTCATTATTTATCTCATTCTGCTCATATCTATCTATCTATCTATCTATCTATGTATCTCGTTCTGCTCATATCTATCTATCTATCTATCTATCTATCTATCTATCTCGTTCTTCTCATATCTATCTATCTGTCTATCTATTTCATTCTGCTCATATCTGTCAGGTAATATTAGATAGTATGGATTGAATGTCAAAAGGAAACATTGTTCTAAAAGAAGTTGAATTTTGGTTACCCCAGCTTTTGTTGCGCCCACACTAAGAGAACAGACACCGGAGCTTCAGAGAAGACAGGTGCATTAGACGGGTGACGCCATAACTACAAGGTTCATATTCCCACCTTACAGAATGTCAGTAGCTGCCCTCGCATATAAACAGGCGGTCGACAAGATATGTATAAGTGGTTCAACCGTATGAAAAGAACATATAATAGCATCCTGCACGAATGGGGAAACAAAAGATTTTTTTACGCCTTCGCGCGAAGAAGACTTACGTCTGGAAAAGGCCACAAAGCTGATATTAATTAACGAAATCCTCAGTGGAATAAAAGAAAAATTATTTTACGTATGAGGGTTTTAGCTTCGTATTAGTCGTTTACAGCAATGATGATAAAAAAATCTATTGCTTTATCTCTACTAATTTACTAGTAAGGTTTATAGTACTCACATTTGTTTTTATTTATTTACTTTGCTTTTAGTGCCTATTGGTGTACCAACCGACGTTTTTGCTGACACGTACAACTCAACAGCCATTGTTGTTACTTGGACACCCGTCAAGAATAACCGGCATTTTATGAGAGGAAAAATATTAGGCTATCAGGTGAGAAATATTTGGTCCGTTGATATTAGATAAATCTTATGTTACAGAATGCGTAGCTGCCACAAAGTGGCAAATCCTACAGTACTGGTCAGAACTCTGACGACCCGAACTGAGTGGGAGTGGTTTGAAGTCCTATGGAATCATAACAGTGGTTTCCGTTTAAATTTTAATATTAAAAAAACAACAACGCAGGAAGACACTCAGTACAGTTGCAAGAATAGAAGGATAAAGATGTCTCGTTGTTCTCAGATTCTTAAGTTGGACAAGCGACTACGTGGTGATGGGTAGTAGTAGGCCAACCTCCTGATATCCTTCCTCTCTATCTGCGTCTCCCCCTCGTTTCTCCCAAGAAACGGTGGTACGACTATTATGTCTCCCCACTGAAATAAAACGAAGGGAGAAAAACGAAAAAAAAAAGAATTTTCCGTCGTTAATTCAGTCTTTAAGCGGCGAAGATAGATAGATGTGAATATATATATATATATATATATATATATATATATATATATATATATATATAAAGAAATACAGTCTTAAGGTGTTCTATATTTATGCAATAAAGTGCTCAATATCAGAGATAGAGCGGGTGTAAATATAAAGTGAACATAGAAGTCAACACTTAGAGGCGACAGTCTGTTTCATGCTAGATGCAATCGTCAGGACGATTGCATCTAGCATGAAACAGACTGTCGCTCTATGTTGACTTCTATGTTCATTTATATATATATATATATATATATATATATATATATATATATATGTGTGTGTGTGTGTGTGTGTGTGTGTGTGTGTGCATGTATATGTGTGTATATGTGAAATGTGTATGTATATAAATATATATATTATTCATATATTATATATGCAGGGTACTTTATTGGAAAGCGCTCAATATCAGTGACAGAGCTAACATATTTAGTTGGATTGATGTCAGTTTATGACCCTGTGTTTCACGCCATTTACGATCGTCAGACAAACCCATGTTAGTCTGCATTTATGTTGCTCGGTCAGATCGTATTCTGATCAAAAATATTTTTTTTTGTTCTTGGGCTTTGGACAATACTTTATTGGGCCCTGTTTCGTGTTTCATTTTGCAGTCTGGTATATATATATATATATATATTGTGTATATTTAGGCAGCAATTTTTCATTAATGCATGTTTCATTAAATAATATAGACAAGTTTTGCCTATTTATTTTAAGTAAGTTCCTCTCATATTGTCTGATAATCTTAATCTTAGATTAGATTTAAACATGTATCAATATGGTGTTTTCCTTTCGTCTTTCAACGATAATGTGATTAAGCTTATCAGACAATATGAAAGAAACTTACTTAAAATAAATAGACAAAACTTGTCTATATTATTTAATGAAACATGCATTAATATATATATATATATATATATATATATATATATATATATATATATATATATATATATATATATACTTGCATATAAGTGTACATACAAGATTGTAGTGATTGAGAAAGCATCCTGAGCGAGAGTCTGTTGCAGTACTGGAGTGAAATGGTTAAAAAGTATTAACGACAGTATATATATATATATATTAAACGATAGTATATATATATATATATATATATATATATATATATATATATATAATTTAAAGAAAAACAGACCACTTTTAAGGCTCCATTGTAATAATTTATTTCACCAGAGACTTTTAATTTTCCCTGGATCTTCAGACATCACTTTCAAAAGGTGAAACGAAAAATGAAATTAAAATAAAATTTTGACGGGCAGTATTAAGCTTATATAAGTTAATATAGAAGGTAGCGAGGAATAGTATGAGAGACATGGTCGAGTTTAGAGAGGGAAGGGAGAGTTTTAAAATTTATTTTTATATTTCTTTTTATTACAATACTTAATATTGAGGAAGGAGGGGTAAGGATCAGACATTAACCTATTTAATCGGACAACTCAAAAGGAGAAAAAAGGGAAAAAGAAAAAGGGGGAAGTTAAGAGAAAAGAGATGTACGTAGGGTTATTTGGTGGAAGAAGAGGGGTAGTATATCTTTAGCAATTTAGATACAAACAGATTTTAATGCTTGATAGTAATTTAAATGTTTAAAAACTACACAAAGAAATTAATTTAATGTTTGTTAGCAATTTAAATATTCAACTTGTCTACAAATAAATTAGGGATTTAATATGAGTTGAATACTATATTAATAAACAACAATAATAAAAAAAAAAGTTTACTAATAGTAATATTTTAATATTCTGAATGACTGTTAAGTTAAAATCTTTATCAGTTTGAGTTTAATTCATGAATGTAATTTGTAGCTACTTTAAATGGGTAATATTTCTTAATTAAAATTTAGGTTTCAAATCAAGATGGAGGAAGATTTGAAGGTGATAGTAAAAAAATTTCTGTTTTCACATACATATACCACATACATATTTACGTAAAAATCACATATACATACTTTCATGTACATGTGCAATTACACATATAAGCACATACACATGTATCGATATACACCGGTATATACGCATATAGACATGACGTGCCTTTAACCTTTAATTTGGCCACAGAGGAGCGTTCGGTTAGCAAGGTCGATTTTACTATCTTTAAACTACAATCTTCCATGATTCTCTCACGTACATTCATATCTGATCATGGCGTATCCAAATGTAAACAAATGACGTCAGACGTTATGAAATTGTCAGAATCCGACAATTATTTTTAACCAAAGGCTGCTCTGTAGCCAAATCAGTTAAAGTCACGTCAGGCTATATGACGGTTCCGTATAGGATACAGGTTCGATTCCTGTCAGAGGACGAATATTTTCTATGAAAATTTCTGGGGCATTCAGGCCGGTAAATGTTATTTAATACTGTTTATTATAAACAGAGCATTTACTTAAATATTTGTATCTATAAAATGAATGTATAAACATAAAATGCCTTTAAAAATATATATATATATATATATATATATATATATATATATATATATATATATATATAGATAGATATATGTGTTTGTGTTTGTGTATGTGTGTGTGTGTGTGGAACAATTTCATTATGCATAATTTATCTTACATATCTATAAGTCTACCATTCAGCCATGCTTAGAATATTGCTGTCACATATGGTCTGGTACTCCTGCTATTTACCTTGAGCATCTTGATAAAATCCAAAGAAGAATCAGCAATATTATTGTCCCTGATATGGCGACTTGGCTTCAGTCTCTCTCCCACCGTCGTAAGGTCCCCCACTCTGTGTCTTTTCTATAAATACTTTCATGGTAATTGTTCGAATGAGCTCTTCCTTATGGTACCTAGACGTTTTAAAACAAAGCGCAGTAGTAGACTGATGTCAAGATCTCTTCGTCCTGGGTAAGACAATAAACTACATCCACGTCTTGAGTAAGACAATAAACTACATCCGCGTCCTGGGTAAGACAATAAACTACATCCGCGTCCTGAGTAAGACAATAAACTACATCCACGTCCTGGGTAAGACAATAAACTGCATCCGCGTCCTGAGTAAGACAATAAACTACATCCGCGTCCTGAGTAAGACAATAAACTACATCCGCGTCCTGGGTAAGACAATAAACTACATCCGCGTCCTGGGTAAGACAATAAACTACATCCGCGTCCTGGGTAAGACAATAGACTACATCCGTGTCCTGGGTAAGACAATAAACTACATCCGCGTCCTGGGTAAGACAATAAACTAACGTCGCGTCCTGGGTAAGACAATAAACTACATCCACGTCCTGGGTAAGACAATAAACTAAATCCGCGTTTTGGGTATGACGATAAACTACATCCGCGTCCTGGGTAAGACAATAAACTAAATCCGCGTTCTGGGTATGACGGTAAACTACATCAGCGTCCTGGGTAATACGATAAATTACATCCGGCAGCAAGGCCTCTGAGCAGAAGGTTTTGAGGAGCGTGGAACCACCTCTTAATTGCTGATGTTTCTAGGTCCACCCCTTGGGGTTGATATACCGTAAACCAAACCAAACCAAACGAAGGTTTACCGTTGAGCTGGTTAGATGTAACCGTGAATCCTATGTAAACAGTTTTTCACGAAATTCTCGCTTGCAAAACTCTCTTTCGGCTTCATGTTTTCCAGACAACTATAATCTGCAAACATTTAAATACAATGTCAATCGCTATCTACTACTGTTCTCCTAATTACCCTTTCCTCTTACCGCTCATTATTTCTGTTTCAATTTCTTCCAGAGCCTGAAACCCCTAATGTCTTAGTGGCCTTACTGCCTTGCATGGAGTGATACCCATTGATATATATATATATATATATATATATATATATATAAATTCATGAATCATTCACACAAAAAACAAATATAGAGGTTAATGATTTAAATGTATTCTCGCCATTTAAATCATTAACCTCTATATTTGTTTTTTTGTGTGAATGATTCATGAATTTATAAATTATAATTTGCACCTTTAATTGATATATATATATATATATATATATATATATATATATATATATATATATTTCCATATCTGAGGATGGTTGTATGTACAGCTGAAAGTACTAGCAGAATAAAAAAGGCCTTATACAGCTTGTAGTTACTAAAAACAAGGATCATAACATTCATCGGGTTGTTCGTAGGTTAATGTAATTTTAATAAATTTGCTAGCGAAGGTGTTTTTCTCCATTTATATCATTAACTTTACTAACCTACACTTTGTATGAATGATCCAAGTAATATATATATATATATATATATATATATATATAGTAATTTTCCAAGCGTAGCACAAGGCACGGGTCACCTAGTTAGGATCGAACTCACTACTCAGTCGTCATTGTTTAACGAAACAAGCTTGCTAACCATTACACTGCCTCGAGATGCTCATGACAAAAACTCATCCACGCCAGGATTAATAAGACGGACGGGCGATATTTATGACTGCCGAAATAGGCTATTAGCCGTTTGAAGTGATTTGGGATTTTATTGTTTATTAATTATATATATATATATATATATAGAATTGCTGTCGACGGAATAAAATTCTAATAACCAAAAATGCTATTCTTAAAAGTGCTCAATACAGAGTAAAGCAAATATTTATTTATTCAAAAAATTATAACATAAACATGTTACAACATATCTACAAAATAGCTATTTTTGTTGTGGTGTTATAACATGTTTATGTCATAATTTTTAAATAAATAAATATATATATATATATATATATATATATATATATATATATATACTTTAAAAATCATGAGGTCAGTCGAATCCGCTACCTTGGTTTGAACCTTACGGTATACTCTGGCGATTTTTATCAAATAATCACCTGACGCTAATATATATATATATATATATATATATATATATATATATATATATATATACAGAGAGAGAGAGAGAGAGAGAGAGAGAGAGAGAGAGAGAGAGAAAGATGAAATTCATAGATAGATATGAATGAGATAGATAGATAGATAGATAGATAGATAGATATGAAGACTGAGATAGATATAGATGCATAGAATACGATATGCCTGGTAGTGTTATGAAGCAATCTTGTCTTGATAATGATTAGCCTGCGGCGAATTCTCTTATTATGGACAGAGAAAGCAAACAAACAAAGGAAAATGCCGCATTTCTCATTATACAGAAATCTTTGCGAAATAATTAATTTGTCGATGCATCTCAGTTGCTTCGTCGCCAGTTCCGTATGGTGGAGTAACTGCAGTGACCTTTGTCGAGGTTATGTCGAAACACTTGTCTACGTATTAGGACACTCCTTTCATTGGATGAGATCGAGTCTAGCAACAGCCGCCATAAATGATTCAATTATGAACTTTACTCACGGACATAGTTTCTCTCGTTTCATTCGAAGTGGTATAATTCTGATCCAGTTGGGAAACGCACAAAGATATTTAGTATGATTCCTGGTTTCTGGTTGGGTAATTTTGTTTTTAGTTATTATTGCAGGTCTTCGGTCGAAACTCAGATTTATAAAATAAATATCACAAATCCCTTTCGAGAATAAACCTTTTTATATGACCTACTAAAATTATTTCTCACTGTAAGTAAATAAATGCAAAAAATATTTTCTTCCATTTTATAGGTAAACTGGTACGACCGTGATCTTGATCCAGATAATCCGCTGAAATATTCACAGTCCTTTTTTGGTGCTGATTTAGAGGAAGTTATTGTTATCGGCCTCGTTCCAAACGGATACTTTTGGGTCACAGCTCAAGTGTTCAATACTGCTGGCCTGGGGCCGGTAAGCGAGTCCTACTTAGGGAGCACAGGAATGGAAGGTAATTTTAAGTTTCTTTAAAGTTTGTCCGTCCTGAGTAAGAGGCTACACCCGCTTCGTGGGTAAGATGAGGAATTACGTCCAACAGCAAGGCCACTGATCAGGTGGTTGGGAGGAGCATGGAACCACCTCTTAATTGCTGGTGCTCCCAGGTCCACCCTGACCCGGGTGGTAACACCTGTTAGGGTCCCAGTTATGGGCAAATACTTCACACACAAACTGGGGTGAAAACACTATGAAAGTGTAAAAATATGTTTTAATACATACCAGAAATACTTTGTAAAAAAAAAAAAATTTACCAGCAATACATTTTTAGAAAAAAAACAAGATATTCTTGTGTTAGGCTACGAACTTGCTGATTCACCCCCATAATTCACTTGTACAATTTAATTCTCACGTGTTTCTTGTTTGTGGAACCCTTTTCTAGGTTTTTGCTTCCCAGTCAACTTTGATATTCAAAAATGTAAATTCAATGTCATCTGTTATCTTCTAGCTTCTTAAAACGCGTTCTTTTATTGTCCTTTTTCCTTAATAAATTTTTCTTTATCTCATATTCTTTCGCATTCAGTAACTTAAATAAATTATTAAAAAAGAAGATAACAATAATTTATATAAAATTATGTTGTTTTCAAACTCTTCTTAATTTCTGTAGCGTTTGAGTACAAAATCTAACTTTCTGTATCCTGGGTAAGACGATTAACTACATCCAGCAGCAAGGCTTCTGATCAGGATGTTGTGAGGAGCGTGGACCCACCTCTTAATTGCTGATGTTTCCAGGTCCACCCTGACCCGGGGTGGTAGCACCTTTTAGGGCCCCATCAATGGGCAAATAGATTTTGAGGAGGTATATTTAGCAATTGACCCCAAGCTAACTCGGTATTTACTCCCCAAAGTCGGTTTAACCGAGTCCATAGGCTCGGGTAAAAATTCCCCGTAGACCCCGTCATAACAAGTTTAGGTTTGTCTACATCCTCATATGTGACTCTTCCCTTTAAACATAGTCTCGTCTGGGTTCCTCTCTACCCAAAGAGACATAATGCTGACTCTCCTCAACTCAGCTTGACTCCGTTTACTTATATAAATGGACGATTCTATTCCTTTATATCCTATATGACAACAGGACACTCAAAAACAAAGAAAAAGTTGAAAACTCTCTTTTGTCGGGTAAAATCCCAGATTTATTTCTACGTGGAATCGAAAATTAAACTTCCCTTTTGCTTAAGTCGTTGATTATGAAATTAATTATATTCTTAATGAATAATATTTAATTAACATAACTCACACCCTTGTGCAAATTAACTGAAACAAAACGAATAATTCCGTTATTATCTGCATTTTTTTTTCGTATTTTTCCAATGAAACATGACCCAATGTACATGTTAGTAGTTCGTATTTCCATTCCACAAAGTCGTTCCTTGTAGATTGACCACAGATTCTCGATTGGATTTAAATCGGGAAAGTCAATCTATAGTAATTTGATTTGATCACTGGTAAAGCTTGTCATTGTGTTGGTACAGCGTTACAATTTTAGTACGCTTCCTTGGAGTAACGGCCAGCGCAGACAATGGACGTAGGACAAATAATCGACTGTCGAGACAATAGTTTCTGGGTGTTATAAAAATGTGATACAATCACGGATGACGTAATATTTTTCAAATTTCATCATACACTCCGAAAATAGATTCATATTACTACTCACCTCTGCAAATGACCTAATCTGTGGAAAAAAATAGAAATCGATTGCACCTTGTCACTCCAGTTGGTCTAAAACTGACCCAATGGTGCAAGAAATGAAACTAAAGAGGTTAATTTGAACTTGGGTGTATATTTGAAATACGGATGTACTTCCTATGAAGAGGATTTGATTTTTGCATATCTTCTCCTATGGTTTACACCCCGTCACTCCAGTGGATCTAAAACTTACCCAATGGTGATAGAAAGGAAAATAAAGAGGTTGTTTCAATTAATTTGCACAAGGGTATATATTTGAAATACGAATGTACTTCCTATGTAGAGGACTTGATTTTTGCCGATCTTCTATGGTTTACACCCCGTCACTCCAGTGGATCTAAAACTTACCCAATGGTGTTAGAAAGGAAAATAAAGAGGTTGTTTCAATTAATTTGCACAAGTGTGTATATTTGAAATACGAATGTACTTCTTATGTAGAGGACTTGATTTTTGCATATCTTCACCTATGGTTTACACCCCGTCACTCCAGTGGATCTAAAACTTACCCAATGGTGATAGAAAGGAAAATAAATATGTTGTTTCAATTAATTTGCACAAGGGTGTATATTTGAAATACGAATGTACTTCCTATGAAGAGGACTTGATTTTTGCATATCTTCTCCTATGGTTTACACCCTGTCACTCCAGTGGATCTAAAACTTACCCAATGGTGATAGAAAGGAAAATAAAGAGGTTGTTTCAATTAATTTGCACAAGGGTGTATATTTGAAATACGAATGTACTTCCTATGAAGAGGACTTGATTTTTGCTTATCTTCTCCTATGGTTTACACCCCGTCACTCCAGTGGATCTAAAACTTACCCAATGGTGATAGAAAGGAAAATAAAGAGGCCGTTTCAATTAATTTGCACTAGGGTGTATATTTGAAATACGAATGTACTTCCTATGTAGAGGACTTGATTTTTGCATATCTTCTCCTATGGTTTACACCCCGTCACTCCAGTGGATCTAAAACTTACCCAATGGTGATAGAAAGGAAAATAAAGAGGCCGTTTCAATTAATTTGCACAAGGGTGTATATTTGAAATACGAATGTACTTCCTATGAAGAGGACTTGATTTTTGCCTATCTTCTATGGTTTACACCCCGTCACTCCAGTGGATCTAAAACTTACCCAATGGTGGTAGAAAGGAAAATAAAGAGGTTGTTTCAATTAATTTGCACAAGGGTGTATATTTGAAATACGAATGTACTTCCTATGAAGAGGACTTGATTTTTGCCTATCTTCTCCTATGGTTTACACCCCGTCACTCCAGTGGATCTAAAACTTACCCAATGGTGATAGAAAGGAAAATAAAGAGGTTGTTTCAATTAATTTGCACAAGGGTGTATATTTGATTTTATATCCTTTCATAGTGAAATGTCATAACCATCCGAATATCCCGGTGATATTCTTTCTAAATCTTCATTCATATATAATAATTGTTTAATTCTAGTTTCTTACGATCATAATTTGTTTTTAAAAAATGAGTAATATGTTTAATTATTATGTTTGAGGCGAATTATCCCCTTAGACCATCAAGTTGGTTGATTCAATGCGTTTCTGGAACTATTCAGTCGAGAAAATCTTATTATCTATTATTATAATCTATTATTCTCTGCATTTTTTGTAATCATGTCATCACAAGTAATGCAGTAACTCCATTAAGGTGAATAAGGTTACTGAATTTAGAGAAAATGAAATAAAGAAATCATTATTAAGGAGAGAGATCAATAAAGGAATAAGAATTAAAAAGACAGAATATAACGATTTAATTTTTGACTAGAAAGATTTTACTAAAATTTGACTAGAAAGCAAGAATCCAGTGCTACTACAGGAATTTCTGAAAGTATTTACAGAAAAGACACAGGGAATCTCCGTTACGGCGGTGTGAAAGTGACTGAATCTGAGATGCCAGACCAGGACCAATAACAATGCAAATTCTTCTTTGGATTTTATCAAGAATCTCTAAATATATAGCAGAAGTACCAGGTCAGATGAAGCAACAATGAATATTGGAAATAAGGTTTATATATATATATATATATATATATATATATATATATATATATATATATATATAATAGATTCTGGAAAAAAAACCTGTCTAGCCCGACACAGTAAACGAACATTCTTTTCCTCGCAGCCGACCTAACAATGGCTTCAGCATATTCTTTCCACTTCATTCAGCGGAAAACGTTAGCCCGACAAATCGCAAAGTCACTCTCCTGGAGGTCAGCATCAGCCACTTCTCGTTAAATATTCCCTGAACTTTCTAAGGTCAAAAGCCATGTTACTTTTTCAATACTAAAAAGAAAACATTTTCTCGATTGACTCGATTCTTTTATTCTTTTTCAGCACCTTTGACTTATCCAACGGAGGTGAATGTGTACACCAAATCTGAAAATAGCGTTCTTGTCACATTTCGAGGTGTAAGCTTTGGTCTGGACGAGGGCCGTGTCGAAGGATACAAGGTAAACATATGTTACGTTTAGCACGAATTTTTCATGAACGGATGTGCGCGTACTAATCGACGCGGAAAATGGTAATAAAGTTTCGAGTTTTTTCTTGGAAAGGTATTGTGTCCGTTCTCTAACTATCGCGTAGAAGACCAGGCTCTCTAGCTTTGGTTGTTATCCATCCTAAGAAGACAACCGTTTGAGTTTGACGCTATCGACACCACTTCAAATCGATGTGTTATTTTACCGAAAAAAATGTGCTAAAATAACCATAGTAAACTTTGGTCCACCACTGATGACAAAAAGCAAGATTTTTAACCAAAATTTCGAACGTGAATGAAAGGATAAAAAATTTAATAAAATAATTAAAAAATACTTTGGTCTTTCCTCTTAATAATAACATAAACATTTTGACAATAAAACTTTGTTTTTATTAATTTTGGGGCCTTTTTCATCATGGTGTGGTCATTTTTAACGAAAAATTGAAGGTACCTAGTTAAATATGTCTATACATGAGTGGAAGGCAGTCTAGATTATAGATGGACTAACCTAAATTCATTTGAGAAAACAACGGAAAAACATTTCACCATCTGTATTAAAAATTACGGCAATTCAGTTATTTCCACTGAGGTAGGAATTGTTTTAGCGAGAAATGGCATTACGTGATATGCAATGATATTTGTCACACTTAAAAAACTCCAATAGTAATCTTGAAAATTATTGACATCTTGCAAATAACCATCCAAAATCGGCGACATTCTGTTATGTATAGACATACAAATTTTATATTATATATATATATATATATATATATATATATATATATATATATATATATATATATATAAATTAACTGATTTAAAATATGGTTTTTCTTCGCTACACGGTAATAACTATGTTTTAAAAATGAAGCTAAATACTTCAAATTTAATTATATAATTAAATTAAAAGCATTAGTTCTGTTTCATCTTCAAGCACATTTTGGAACCAAAATTCGCTTGAAGATGAAACAGGACTAAAAACAGAAATTAAATTAAAAGCATTAGTTCTGTTTCATCTTCAGAGATAGAGCGTATGTAAATATAAAATTGAATAGCTGTTTCATGTTAGACGCAATCTCCAGAGCGCCTGACGATTGCGTCTAGCATGAAACATCATGTCATCACTGAGTGTTGATTTTAATGTTCACTTATATATATATATATATACACACACACACACACACATATATATATATATATATATATATATATATATGACAAAATGGAAAGTTTTTTGTGACGCGTTTCATCAGACGTTACCGCCTCTATACATGCGTACGAAAACACATCCCATTTTGTCATATTTTTCTACTGTTTGCTGATATATATATATATATATATATATATATATATATATATATATATATATATATATATATACGTGTGTGTCTCTGTGGATGTGAATATTATTTGGGTTATGTCACAAAATGCATGACATCATAGAAAATGGAGGACAAGAGAAATTAAATATCAGGCTGCTTAATAAAAGCAACAGAGAAAAAAAGAAAAGAAAAGGAGGCTGAATAGAACGATAGCTGTACTGATAATCAAACCTGAAAGACATCAAAACAGCATACTATCTTTATGAAGATTTATAGCAATTCAGAGTTAATAAAAGTAAAGTATTTTGTCGAGAGCCATGACTGCCTAACTCCTAAAGGGATATGTCATAAAAATAAAGAGAAACCAAAATAACTTTATAGAAAACTGATAAACTCATTCCACTGGTGTAGGAATTGCTTCAGCTAGAAATGGCATTCTGTGTTCTGTGATGACATCTGGCACCCTTAACTTAAAAAAACTACGAAAGCAATCTTGCATATCCGAAGTTAGTGAGGGTCTTGCAAATAAACATTCTAAGTCTGGAACTTCCCATTTAGTCGTTATGTATAGTCATACAAATGTTAGCATATATATATATATATGTATATATATATATATATATATATATTTAATATGACAGACAATGAATGTCCATTATGTCTGATCCTGGGCCGTTCTAAATTCCGTATATTTGCATTAATTTCGGGTGAAAATAAAGACAGAAATCGTCCAACATTTGAATATTTCTTTATTAAGCTGTTCCTTGATCTAAGCTTTCGGCTCACATGAGCTATATTCAGTGTCGTTATGCGGACATTTAAACAAAGATATTCACCGTCAAAGATCATATTCTGTTATGCTGACAGAGAAGATTACTATTCGATGATAACGGACGCGGAATAGCAGACACAGGTCGTAAATTCATGATGTGGTTCTATGACGTCATATCACGTGAGAAGTCGAAATATTAAGAACAGAACCATATGTTTAGATACAATGTAATGTGTTGTGACTCGTTTGAAAAGTTATTTTTTGGGATGTAGATTCCTTTATTTTAATATAGGTGGCCTCTAATATATGAAGGTTCTTTTTACTGTGTGTATGCGTGAATATTAATATTAATATCTGTGTTATATTATATATATATATATATATATATATATATATATAATGAACTCTCTCGTCGGTTTCGATGAGAATCTGACAACTTAACCAATTGATTCACTCATGAAATTTTGTGCGATAATCTTAGAGATTTACAAAGGAGGCCACATATGGAACAAGGGTGATGGTTGTGGGATGAGATCACTGTTAGATTGGCTGACCTTTTAGATCTTGCTTGAAAACTTCTAAATCCACTAAAACACATTGATCTCCATTCTACCCGCTCCAAGGCTAAGCGCTAGAGGCTGTTATGAGGTATATTGACAGCTGACGGTGGGTGGGTAGAGACTAGTTTAAAAAATATCTCATCACCAAACTGTATCCCCACATAGAATACGTACATTGCAATAGTCCAAAAATGCACTTCTGAAATGCAACCTGTTCTCTCTAACCTTTAATATAAATGCCTATGTTTTTTTTATATTCGAAATAAAAGCGCTTTCTTTTTCTCATTGTAGATGTGTTACTGGCCTGTCACAGAGAAATGGAACCCTGAAAACCACTGCATCGAATTAGGCAATATAGACCAAGCTGTGATAGAAAATTTGGAAAAAGATACATTGTATAAATTGCGTGTCATGGCATGGAGTGGAGACGGAGACGGCAAGAAAAGTGAATTAGTTTACTTCACGTTAGGTACGCTATTCTGGATTTCTCTCTCTCCTTACACCTTTTCTTTATGAGAATACATTTTTTTCATCTATGAATATATTTTCATACCTTTCTCTCTGCCGATGGAAAGTTACTGGAATTCGTTCATAATTTATAGTAACATATATCTATCTTGTACATTTATAAATAGTAACATATATCTATCTTGTACATTTATAAATAGTAACATATATCTATCTTGTACATTTATAAGTCTATCATTCGCCCGGGGATTGACTATTGCCGCCTTACAGGGTACGAAGGATAAATTGACACCATTTTATATGTTTAATTTCGCGCATGCGCGTTGTTTGTTTTTGATTTTGTCGAATGCACCCTGTAGTAGCGTCACCTTGACAAAATTCATTTTCGCCAGAAATTTGGAAATGGCATGCTGTATTGCTGTAATACGAACATTTCCGAATGTTTAGGTTAGGAAAAGAGGAAAAGGATTCGGAAAGAGATGGATGATTTTAATGGTGATTTTGAAGGTACTGCATCTCGAAAAACTCACTCTGATCGTTCTGATAAGAACAGAACTCCCGAATTTGTTGGTGGGAGCCTCGGAACTAACCAGAGACGACATCAGGAGCTAGTGCTGCCTTGAGTCAAGAGGGTGGCTGCTGGAAGTCATGTCTGGCAGCAGAACTCTGAAAATGCCAACACAAGCAGGAGAACTTAGTCATGCCTGTCAGACAATTTCTGTGACCACATCACCCCTTAAATCTATCCACCTAACTCCCTGACTGCAAATCCCATGAGTATTATGTGTGGGGTGCAGTTGAGCGAGAGACCAACAAAACACTTTATAGCACCAAAAATGAACTGAAGTCAAGGATTTTGGCAACATTCACCAACTTAAACAAGGAGACCGTCCAGAAGAGATGCAGGAGATTCAGAAGTCATATGGATGCTGTCGTTGAAGCCAATGGCGATTTTATTAAATAAATTTACTATTTAGTATTTCAAGATATTTTTGTGTAATTTTGGTACGTGTATTTGTTAAAATTAGATGTCAGTATTGTTTATATTTTTGCGTGATCAAGATGTGAATTTATCCATCGCACCCTACCCTACTCAACCTTACCAAAACCTCTTAGAAGATGATGAATCTATTGATAAGAATTAACTCTCTGACCACTTAACGAAGGAAAATAGTCTAGCCACTCCCACAATAACGAATTCTGTAACGGACCGTGCCTAAAAATACACGTAAACCGACAGAGAGCTTATTCCTAAAATTTCGCTTGAAGATGAAACGGGACTAAACACCACAATCCAACTTAATTTTAATAATTATTTGGATATTTCGTCTCTCGTTTTTGAAACATGAGAACTCTTATGTAGCGAAGGAATCATATTTTTAAACAAAAAATATTATTATAATATATTACATATATATATATATATATATATATATATATATATATATATATATATATATATATATATGTCATCCGCAGACAGTACTGTTTCGCTGTATCACAGCTACCCAGTGTGACTAGACATCCGAATGCTTCAAGCCAGGATCGAAACCCAACCGATTTGCTTCTACCACTATATAAAATTATATTTTTATTATAAGAGATTATAATAAAATTATTTGCGACCGCTACACAAAAGCTTTGATATTTCGATATTATGATTGTAATTCTTCCGTCTATTCTAAGTACAATCATGATAGTGAAACATGAAAGCTTTCGTGTAGCGATTTCAACATATTTTTATCATAATCTTTTATCATAAAAATAATAATATTATATTGCTCTACTTTGTATGTTTTCTAAATGTAAATGCTACGAAGAGTGGAATTTTTCTCCATCTTTCCTTTCTCTCATTTGTGTATATATATATATATATATATATATATATATATATATATATATATATATATATATATTTATATATATATACATGCGTGTGTGTGTGTGCATGTGTATGTTTGTGTGCACGCGGGTGTTACAAAAAAGTCGTACATAAATAATCAAACACAAATTCGAAGACTTTGTTACTTTTGTAAAAAAAAAAATAGTAGATTGAAAAAAATGAAAATATTAATCGGGACTTCTGCCTAAATATCCGGTGATTATCAATTCATAGAATGTGATTATCATAACATAGAATAAAATATCATTTTAACAGATAAATTTATCAAAATTACAAAAAAAAAAAAATCTTGAAATACTAAAGAGTAAATGTATTCAATTGATATGTGAGGTTTTAGTACTGTCAAAAAAAGTAATATTTTATATTACATTTTGACAGTACTAAAACCTTACATATCAATTGAATAAATTTACTTAGGTACCTCCACGAGATCGCTAAAAAAAAAGACGCCAAACTTGACGAAAACAAAATTTTATTGTCTAAATGTTTATGTTATTATTAAGAGGAAAGATCAAAGTATTTTGGGGGTATTTTTTACATTTTTTAATCTTTCCTAGCACGTCCCAAATTTTCGATAAAAATCTTGTTTTTTTTAGTCACCAAATGACCATTTTTTTCCATTTTATAAAAAAACTGGAAATCTCAATTTGAAATTCTTTTAAATATTAATTATCATTTTTTCAAAACTTATTTTAAGAAAATCAGAAATTATAATGTTTATTTAAAATATTTTGAACCAAACTTAACTTAGCTTCTACGGCGAAAAGATGTAATTTGAAAATAAAACAAAGCAGATCATAAATTTTCGCGTCACTTGACAGGTGATAAGTGACTTATTGACGGATTCCGTGAGGATAATTTGTTCTACGGAAGGAGAAAAGTGAAATAATTTACATTTAAGTGAACAAATTATTTACCTCGTTATTATTAAGGTAAACTTTCAGCGCTCTAATTTTTTTTTGTACTTAGCTTTCACATTTACGTTTACGAGGCTTTATGGAAAATATATTATAAAGAAATTAAAATAAGACTGTTAAGAGTGAGATTAAATTTCATATTTCATAAGAAAGGTATCTAATTAATTTGTAGGTAAATTTTATCAGAAGTGTACATAAAATACTATAATTTTATGTACATTTATTGGATTTAACTGTGTTATTTATATTTCCATTCATTTTATTATTAATTTTGGTATTTCATTTATGGAAAAATGTCATAACTGGGATTAATATAAAAATAAGATCATATAAATTTCATAAGATGATACTGATAATTGTAGGTACCCTTCTCAGTTGAAATTGAAAAATCAAATTAACTTCTCCACACGTGTTTCGCAAAAGTAAAGGCCTTAACAGCGGAGAACAATGCTTAATTCAAATAACGCAACTTAATTGTATTCTGGTTGGTCTTCCGTACTTTATAATTACAGCCCGATTATAAACACAAAATTACATTTCTTAATTACTGCGGATCTTCTGATTAGTCAAAATGATACAATTTACAACGCGCTAAAAAAGATCTATCTCATAAGGACCCTTAGGAAACCCGATGCGGCTTTTAACTAATTTTATAATATTTTAACAACTTAAATGTAAAAATCTATTATAATTTTTTGCTTTCAGAAAATATTGTCCATATTCATAAAAACAACTAAAAGAAAATAAAAGCATTTGAAATTAAATAATGTATTTGTTTTCTTCAGTTTTATATGTTACAATTCAGAGCTGATTTTCAGGTAGGGTGGTTCTAATTAAAAACAAAAAAAAATGATTTGCATTCCTCAAAACCTTGTGCTTTTAAATATTGTAATCACTAAACCCGATGCGATCGAATTTCTAGTGTTTTCATAAAATTAGTTATGGTGTGTGTGTGTGGGGGGGGGGTAATAAATATTAAAAAAATATTTTTGCCATGACTTTAATAAAAGAGAAATATATTTATAATAATTTTGATCATCTGTGAATAGTTCCTGAAAGTTTCATTAACATCCGACAATTATTTTTATTTTTGCAAGATTTTCCAAATTGATGTGTGTCATAACAACAAAAAAAAAAAAAAAAAAAAAAACGTGCTAAAAATTGTCTATGTTATTTTACTAGATCCGGTGATACAAAGAGAAACAAGGTTTTTTTAATAAAAATTTACAATGTTCTAAAAAGAAGGAAAAATTTTAAAAAATAATTAAGAAAAATAAATTTGGTCTTTCCTCTTAATAATAACATAAGCGTTGAGACGATAAAATTTTGTTTTCGGCAAGGTTGGCGTCTTTTTCATCAAGCTATGCTCATTTTTTAGCGATTTCGTGGAGGTACCTAAATTTACTATTTAATATTTCAAGGTATATATTTATTTATTTTTTGTAATTTTGATAAATATATCTGTTAAAATGAGATGTCAGTATTATTTTCATTTTGGCAACATTTGGACGACAATTTATCCATCGCACACTGTATATCTGTTAAAATGAGTTAAGTGTCAGTGTTATTTTCGTTTTTGCGTAATTTAGACGCCAATTTATCCATCGCACCTTGTATATCGTTCTGATCAATGTTCCTGCAATAAACTAAAAAAAAAAATAATGGAGAATTTGTCTTTTATGAGACACCACACACCCTGTGTCCAGTGCCTCCGTGTCGAATGCACTCCAGGTCATGTCGCTCTTCATGTCTGTCAGACACGCCAACGACCGTCATTGAAGTCAGAACATGAGATTTTACACATTATCCATCGTACTCTGTATATCTCGAGATTCTCAAGGAATTAACAAAACGAAGATGATGATTGACATTGTGTTTAAATTTTTTAAAGTCAAAGATGACTTGAAAGCAAGAATCCGGAAGAATTTCACATGCGAGAATTACTAAAGAAGAAACTGTTAACATAGAACTTACGGTTGCATCTAGCAATTTCAATCGTAAATTGTCCCTCTAATATTGCGCTTAATTTCCTGAAGCCAAGGAATCCAAAAATGAAATCTCATCAAGACAATTACCAAATTATTATTTATAGAAAATTCACTGAAAAGCTATAACGGCGGGAAAATGAGTGAAGCCGAGGCACCAGGTTAGGACCTATAACATTGCAGATTCTTCTTTGGATTTATCAACAATCCCTAAATATATAGCAGAAAGACTAAACCAGATGTGACACCAATATTCAAATCATTGATGAATGGTAAGCTTATAAATATATAAGATATATTTTGACAAGAAAAATGAAGGCAACAGTAAATCAATGTTCTTAACCCAGACTGAGCAATTGATTAAATATAATCTTTCCATTTCATGTCAGCGGAAAACCTTAGGCCTAAAAGCAGCAACGAGTCACTCTCCTGCAAGATTACTCCACAAATATTATTTGTAATATAATTCTCGTCCTGGGTCTGACGATAAACTACATTTGGCAGCAGGTCCACTAATCGGGAGATTAGAGGTTTTAATTGCGGTTATGCCAAGATCCACCCTAACGCGAGTTGGTAGCACCAGTTAGGATTCCAACTATGGGCAAATAATGACCCCCCCCCCAACCAAAGAAAAATCAACAGTACATTTTTATAGTAAAATGACTAACAATATATTTTATGGTTTAAAAATGTACACCGAAAGTATAAAATTATGTATATTTATATAAATTTAGAATTTAAATTTAAATTTAAAATTATGTACATTTATTTAAATATGCAAATTTATGTAAAATTATCAATAGTTGAAAGCATAAAATTACGTACAAAATATTTAGATTTCGGCATTAAATGACCCATAGAGGTGTTGATATGCCGTCAAACAAAATCAACAAGATGAGTCAATATAATAACCTACAATTTTCTAAAGTAAATCTGGCTGCTCTGCTAATGAATGCCTAATGTTTCCTGACGAGGAAACGGCTACATTAATATTAGCATTATCTCGAAACTTCCAGTATAAAAGTTGGGCTTCCTTTGACAGATTTTTTTTTATTTGAAACGTGTAAAACTGATCCGAATAGAAAAAATGCTTTTTAATTCAGGATCACAAACAATCGGCCTCACTATAAAATGTCCAAATTTTGATTAATAATGGTTCAGTTTTGTTCACAGCCAATTTATTCTTTGCATAAACTACGTGTAGTAGACATCTTGAAAACACAAGACGCCATCATGGACAGAAATAACTAAACGTTTGGAATCGGCTTGGGAATGGTAATTATAGAACGGAATCCCTGTCCAGCAAAATTGGCTGAACATGAGATAGCAATTTCCTGTAGATTTGTCAGATTATTTTATAGGTATTATTTTATTTCATACCTGAGAGGAAATTGTCGGTGAGTCCGGCCTATGCATTTGCCGTTTGAGAAAATCTTCAGCTGGCAGAATTCACGCGAAGGTGGGCACGGATAGATTGCTACGACTGAATGTTTGTTTTCCCTGTCTTTCATCAACATCATATCTGTACTTGGGACCGAATATATTTGCCATTCATTTGGCCTTATTTTTTTCACAAGCTCGAATGAATAATCGCAGAATCATTTCGAGAAAGATAACGCTATTTTTTAAACTTAAGATTTGACTATGATATATATATATATATATATATATATATATATATATATATATATATATATATATATATATGGTATGTTTAGGCAGCAAATTTTCATTAATGCATGTTTCATTAAATAATATAGACAGATTTTGTCTATTTATTTTTAAGTAAGTTCCTTTCATATTGTCCGATAAGCTTAATCACATTATCGTTGAAAGACGAAAGGAAATCAGTATATTGATACATGTTTAAATCCAATCTAAGCTTTCGGCTTACACAAGCCATTATCAAAGATGACAATTTCAATAAATCAAACGACACACGGACGAAACAACAATGATAGTCCGCCCTTGCTGCATGAAAATTTCAAGTAACGACAAACTCGTATATACGAGACGCGGAAGCGAAAATCACGTCGCAGCTCATGACGTCATACATGACCACGCAAGAGTGAAAAACGAGAAGTATTAAGTATGGGAAACCATTGGTATAAGCCAATGGCTTCCGTTATAAATTATAGGCATTTAAGGATATTTGTGGAGATTTCATAGTTTATTTTGTTAGGGTTAGTTTTCAACTGTTTTATGTATAAAGCTTCGAGAATTTTTAATTTTTGTTAATTGTTTTCATGCTTAAGTATAGTTGTGTTTTCAACAAGGATTTTCCGGAATTGAGTAAGCGAGCAGGCGTGTTGATTTAAATGTCTCTCTCTCTCTCTCTCTCTCTCTCTCTATATATATATATATATATATATATATATATGGCCATCCCTATGCAAGCCTGTTTCTCTGTATCACAACTCATCAGTGTGGCTAGACTTCCGATTGCTTCAAGCCGAGATCGAAAATCGACCGACTTGGCATCAGTCAGAGATCTTACCACTAAGCTATCAGCACACGGCAGAGAAAGGTGAAATTTTAACGTATTATATACGAGATTTATACAAATGCCAGTGGACAAGAGGGCTCAATTCGTAATTGAAGAGCGATGCGTTAGGAGCAGTAGCAGTCACCGTTTTTAAAATTACATTTTCTCTAGAGTGCTCGATCGGGTACAGAGCATAATTAGTATATATATATATATATATATATATATATATATATATATATATATGCAAATAAATTCTCTGTCCTAAAAAGCGTACCATTACCTATTTCCAGATCCCAGTAAAAATAAAATTTTTATGAAGAGGTTGTAAGTAATTTATTTCCGATTTAAGTATTGTTGTAGCATACCTACGGACGATAATGGGTATGTCCCCATTCACATAAATACAGTAGTAAATACTGTATGGTGGTCTTCAGTTGGAGATCTGTCTCCAGTTGTGCTGGTCAATCTCTCTGTCGCCGGACAGAGAGGATTCCGAGACTAGGCTATGTCAAAAGGCAGAGTCTCGTCTCGGGAAACAGCTATTCTACCTCGTTTTCCACGAGGAATGTTTGGCCGAGCCTACGGGCTACGATACCCCAAATTAAATTCGGCCTTGTGCCATATCTGACCACATGGGGCGGTTGGTAGATATCCTGCAGTTGGAGATTCATCGTGGACTCACTACTAGTAGTTAACTACTATTTCTACGCGTCGCTGGCGAATCTTATATGTGTTGTTCTTGTCCTAATTATTATCATTCATTACTAACCTTCGTTTGATTGTTCTATTCAGTAACCTTCCCTAGATTACAACAAGTATCATATTGCAATTCTGGTTTTTCCTTCTTTCCTTAGTTAGTTTGGTAGCGCCTACAACCTAATAAATGATTGGCTATTCAGTTTTGACCGTGTGGAAATATGGAAAAGACATCAGAGAAGCTGTTTAGTTTCAGCGAGAAAAAGAAAGAAGAGGCGATAACGCTCTATGTGTTGAACACCTGCTTCAGTGAAATGGAAAAAAACCTGTGTATTTTAAAATTTGTATCCTCTTACTTCTTTATATAATGACGTGAATTAAGATTTATGAGTGTTACTGCAATAATTCATTAAAGTTGGCTCAAATATTTAACGATCTAATAGATCATGGAACCTCATGGCAATTCAGGGATCATTTCCACGAGTATTTCATGTGTATTTTATAGTTGTAAAACTCGCAAGGAATTTATTCAATCATTAACTTAAGAATTATGATTCGTCAGTAAATTTAAATAAGATAACCGTGAAATATTCACTGGTATTCCTAGTAAATATATTTTACAGTATGATTCAGTAAGTAAAGAAAGAAAGGAAGTGTATAAGTCTACTAGAAAATGACTCTTGGCTAAGGAATAAGACCACTAGAAAATAAATCTTGCCTACGTAATAAAGCTACTAGATAATGATTCTTGGTTAGGGTATAAAGCTACTAGAAAATGACTCTTGCCTAGGGCATAAGACTACTAGAAAATGACTCTTGCCTAGGGCATAAGACTACTAGAAAATGACTCTTGCCTAGGGCATAAGACTACTAGAAAATGACTCTTGGTAACGGAATAAAGCTACTAGATAAAAATGTTGGCTAGGGCATAAGACTACTAGAAAATGACTCTTGCCTAGGGCATAAGACTACTAGAAAATGACTCTTGGTAACGGAATAAAGCTACTAGATAAAAATGTTGGCTAGGGCATAAGACTACTAGAAAATTACTCTTGCTTACCACATAAGACTACTAGATGTGTTTTTTTTTTGTTTTTTTTTCATATTTTTGTTTTCCGTTTTCACAAGTTTTAGTTATTTTCTTTGCTCTAAATTCAGGTGCGTTTTATACATGAATTTAAACTATTTTCCCTGGAATTTCTCTCCATTTTTAACTGCGTCTTACATTCTCCAGCGATCTATACGCCAAAAATTTCGATGATTTTCCTTAATATAATTATTATTTTTTTTTTTCAGGTGGTCGGGTTTCGTTCGATCCTACTGTCTATGAAGTTCTCGCGTTGGGCAGTCAAATTCGCTCATTTCTGGTGACCTTGTGCCTGGCAGCTGTCATCGCATCTCTTTTTCAGACATCCTAGAGACAACAAAATTTTGCCTAACAATTTCTTAAACATTTTCAGGAATAAAATCCCAGCAATAATAACATTCTATAAGATTTGAAATCATAAACCCAAAGTACAATTTTTTTTAAATTCTGCGTGCTAATATTGACATTCATTGTAACATATTTTTATTTTGTTCTCGATATTAACGCTCAGACCATTTTGACACACTAGAAGCGTCAAGTAAGAAAAACAGATAGAAAATAAAATAAAAAGATATAACAACGGGACTTCAATTGGCAGCGTTTAATCTTGAAGACTCACTAAACAAGGAACCGATTAGTCGGCTAAACCTAACCTGGAAACATCACACAGTTTTAATCATATTTTATTTGCCAAATCTTCTCAATACATAGACGGTTAGGTTTATCTTTTACTATCTCACTTTGTCTCAAATGGTCAGGTTGGCACCTCATGGCAATTCAGGGATCCCTTCCGAAACCCGCATATTTTTGTGTTACCTCATGGAAGATCTTGGATCCCCTCAGCAATACCAGCTCTCCAAGAAACCCGGTTTTTAGTTGGAATTCCCCAGTTATCCAGACTAATATTGTACACAGACACACACACACACACACACACACACACACACACACACACTCACTCACACCCGCGCGCATACACACACATACATACACACACACACCCGCGCGCACACACACACGCATACACTCACTCACGCGCACACGCACACATGCACACACACACATACACACACACATATATATATATTTATATAGTTGCGTTGATAGAAACTCACATCGATGCAACAATGTTAGTTCTAACGCTGGTATTGAGCGCTTTCCAATAAGTACCGCGCTAATATAATATATAAATAATATATATAATATATATAAAATTCCATATATATATCTATATATATATATATATATATAAATTCCATATATATATATATATATATATATATATATATATATATATTCTCTCTCCCTCTATATATATACACATTACATCTATACATATATATGTGTATGTGTGTCTGTAAATATTCTCAGATGGAGTATATCTGCAGAAGAGCCAAAATGAATGAAAAGACAAGACGAAGAAATATAATTAGTTTTAGCCGACGCGTTTCGTCATCTGACTAAAAACTAAATCTTGTCTTTTCATTCATATATATATATATGTGTGTGTGTGTGTGCGTGTGTGTATATAAACATTAATGAATTCTACTTTTAATCCGTTACATTTTTATTACGTTATTTTGTTTGGCTACCCGAACAAGAGTAGATAAATCTGCATTTTGTTACGGTATTCATTTAGTCCACCGGCCTGCTCAATTATTAAACTTGCCGTATTGCAGAATTTCAACCTATGACCCCGCACCACAATCTTTGCAAAAGAAACAACTTCTGATTTGCCGTGCTGTGGCGTCTCGGTTACGGAACTTACTTAAACGGAAAATCCTTGCTTGTGTTGCTAATAAAACTTAACATAATACATTGTGTCCATAAAGTTCGTGTGCACTTTAAAAAATTTATAACTTTATTTGTATTTGCGATAGAAATAATCTGTAAAAATGTTATAAAGTTTAATGTCCCTAGTTTTAAGTATAGCTAAAATAACTAATATGATTTCAGGCATTACTGTAAATCAGTTGGCAAATGTTTTCCGTGAACTGCAAAATCGTTTTACCCTTTGTATTGCTAATGATGGAGGACATGTGGAAACTTAAATAAAATTTCAATAAATCCTTAGAAAATATAGATTTACTTCTTTCTAATCCTTTTTGCAAATTATTTCTACATACATGACCACAAATTTAGAAATCACAATTAAAAGAAAACTCAGAGGCGACAGGCTGTTTCATGCTGGACACAGTCGTCAGGCGGCACTTTATCCCATAAATATAGCACACCAAAAAACTATATTTCTTCATATATATATATATATATATATATATATATATATATATATTATATTCACATTTCATTGAATACGATAGACAAGGTGCTTTGATTTAGTTGACCGTGTTTTGAAAAATGAAAATATTACATAAATACATAAATGCAACATACTATTTCTTATTTAACAGTAAAAATATTTCATCTTTGAAAATGGCTGAAAGCGCTCGTAAAAAAAGTGAACATTCAGACAATTTTTATATAATTTATCATCTGAAAAGAAAAAAAATATTAGATCGCATGAGAAATTGTATAAAAAAACTAAATCAAAGCACCTTGTCTGTCGTATTCAATAAAATGTGCATGAAAGAAGGATTTCTGCCTAAATACAAACAAATATATATATATATATATATATATATATATATATATATATATATATATATATATATAAGTGAACATTGAAGTCAACACTCTTGGCGCAATTGTCATACTAGGCGCGGTTTAAGCGATTGCGCCTAGCATGAAAAATGCCTGTCGCCGCTGAGTGTTGACTTCAATGTTCACTTATATTTATATTTACATACGCTCTATCTCTGATATTGAGCACTTTATCCCATAAATATAGCAGACCTTGAAACTATATTTCTTCATATATATATATATATATATATATATATATATATATATATATATATACTATTGTTAGGCGGTGCGAAAGTCACTGAAGCCGTGATGCCAGGCCAGGATCAATAAAAGTGTAGCTTCTTCGGATTTTATCAAAACCCTCTCGATAAATTAAGACTGTTTTGACTTTTATTTTATCACATTCACCCCAAGCAAGTCAGTAAAGCCACCAAGACAGAAGGTGTTACTGGGTGCGGAAGAATTAGAAAACAAAATCATTACTTAGGAGCCAGAACAAAAAAAAAACAAAAAAAAAACAAACAATACTCAGGAGGACAGTAGATAACGATTGACATTTCTGAAGATTAAAATTGACTGGAAGTTATAGAGCTGGAAGGGAGTTCCACAAACGAGAAAATAACCTAAAATAGAACTTACGGTTACATCTGTAAATTGATGAGACCTCAACGCCTGTCTAATACTGCGCTTAAATACCTAACGTTTAGCTACCATATTTAAGAGCTCATCCGAACATTTACATAAGTAGCGATGAAACCGTTATAAGTAACGCGGTTAATCGAAATAAGTGCTGCATAATTTCTTGAGACTTTTAAAATTTTTAACTTCATAATAATCCGTTTTAATTTTCTTACCTTCATTATATCCTGAGAAATTCCTTAGGCCGTCTTTCCTCATTGTGTCGCAGAATATTTTCTTTCTAATTTTAAATATACATTTCCTTGTTGTTCTTTTTCTTTCCTTAAGACTTTTGCGTTACTCATATATTTTGTCCATGAAATATGGTTCTCCAAGACAAATGCCCATAATGAAGAACCATATTCCCTTCTTCAGCTGAGATGAAACTGTCCAGAATTCAATGCCGTATAGGAGATTAGATAATACTTAGCAATTAAACATACGGTATTTACTCTGTCTCCACACTTGGACGAGATGTGACACAAGGTCTATTTTTAGGTGGGGACCCGGGCGCGTAAGCCCGGGACAGGAAGAAAAAATTCCCTCAGTCTCCGCAACCTTCGATTGTGCTTGCCTCGGTGCTAGCACCGATCCCCCCCCTCTTGCGCAATGGGAGGGCGCGGCCTTGGGCAGCTGTATCCCAAAGCTGGGCACCTCTTCAGTATAATTTTCTCAGTTGCCCCTCTGTCCTTTGACAGAGAAGCCCCTGAGCGCACTCTGTCTAAGGACAGAGACGCAACTGAGAGATGATAAGTAGACGTGTACCTACTAAAAAAAGCGTAAGGTACACACTTAGCAATTAAACATACTTTTCTAATGATTTTTTTCAGGTGTGTTTATTCAAATGGACGAATGGCATTCTTAACGCTTTTTGAGGTTTGCAGAATTTATCGCGTCATTTATCTTCTGTCATCTCTCAAAAAACCGCAGGGAAACAGGAAAGATCTTTAATATCGACATCATAATGTCTTCATTATTTTTGTAATAATGCAATTTTTGACTGAATCTACGGAACCAATATCATCTGTAATGCATATTAATAAAAATAACAAACAGGCTTCATTACCTTCTTTCATAGAAGAATATAGTCACCCACCGAGATGTTTTATTGTTTCCTAGTTAGGTACATCGTATTTTAAAGGTTAGAAATAAAGCACACACTAGATGACACATATAATAGTACCTGTACTCTAAAAGGTTACTCATAACATATATTGGCTGATTAAGTGTCAGCTGCGTTAACAGAGATCACACAGAAAATGACTTCGGGTGATTCAAATTGATTTGGTTAAGAGTCTTCCCTTCCCTTTAAGGTTTAGATATAAAGCATACACTAAATGACACATATAATAGTACCTGTACTCTAAATGGTTGCTCATAACAGATATTGGCTGATTAAGTGTCAGCAGCGTCAAGAGATCATCCAGATAGTTACTTCGGGCGATTCAGGCGGATTTCGTTTGGCTTCCCTCCTCTAAAAGAAGAAAAAAGAAAAAAACATCAAGAAAATTGTTACAGTCTGATTTCTTTTGGTTTTATTTTTAAGATTTTAACTCAAATAAATAAATATTCAAATGAATCAGAAAGGTGCACTTCTTCTTCTTATGCCTGACTTCATTGTAGAAAACTTTTGCATGTTGTGAATGTTGCCTGTTTATACATCCGCTTCATTATCAGAGACAACAGGATTTGAGGATTCAATGACGTCACTCGGCATCAGATAAGACACAGAAGATGAATGATAACACAAAAGATCGAGTTTACAAAATCATTAACAGTTTTTTCTTCCTTTCCTAGTAGTCTATCATGATTACACCTTCAGAATACAAAAACAGAAGCCACCACCTTTGCAACACAAGCTGACTGCTTTAAATTCTTTGGGACGGAGAATCAGAGTGTTTCCACTGTTTACTTTGAACCACTGATTCAGGTTCTAAGAGTTGAAGCCAGGTTTCATCTTGAGTTTATAATCTGCGGTGAAAATTCTCAGGATCAGCTTGAATCAGA